TGCATGATAACACAATCAGTGGGGAATGAAAATATTGACAAGCCTATTATGAGTGAGTAACTTAATAATCAACTCAGGATTACTGACTACATCTCCCCGTCTAGGTAACTACAAACATACTGCACACATTTATTGGATTATTTCAACGGAGCTTTCTAAACACTTAGTATTCCCTTCTGCATGAGCGCATATTAGTTACTTGGATGGGATTAAAGTTTTAGACTAGTGACATCAAATATTCAATTCTTTGTTTATTAGTTTGAACTATGAAATTTAAAGAATCATATTCGTGTGGCTCGCACGATAGTCAAAATCAGTGATCTTATTTAAGATTCACTGAATTTGCTTATTTCTTGCAAGTTTTATTCTCCATGGATTAATCTTGTGGTGTATGCTACTTATATTGACAGATATAAGTAGTAGGTAGCACCAATCGGATGTAGAAGGCCTTGCAATAGATTTTTGTTTAACTTCATCATAGACCTATTGATGGAAATAACACTCTCGTCGACTGAATTCTCGGGTATTGATCTCCTTCCAGGAGGTCCACTTATCGACTTAGAATACGCAGATGACATAGTCCTGTTTGGTGAAGACGCTGACAAAATGCAGAGTCTTCTGGTAGCACTAAGAAACAATGCCAGAATGTTTGGGATGCGCTTCTCTCCCTCTAAATGCAAGTTGTTGCTTCAGGACTGGTCTGCGTCAACACCTGAACTAAGGATAGGGAGTGAAGTAGTCGAACGCGTCGACAACTTCACTTATCTTGGAAGTCTGATCAGCCCTAATGGGTTGGTGTCTGACGAAATCTCAGCACGGATTCGAAAAGCTCGTTTGGCTTTTGCCAACTTACGTCACCTTTGGCGGAGGCGAGATATCCGTCTATCAATAAAAGGACGAGTATACTGCACGGCAGTCCGTTCTGTCTTACTTTACGGCAGCGAAACATGGCCTTTACGAGTAGAAGACACCCGTAAGCTACTAGTATTTGACCACAGATGCCTTAGAAATATTGCTGGCATCTGCTGGGATCACCGGGTAAGTAATAGTGAGGTTAGACGCAGGGTATTAGGGAATGATGGTAAATCAGTTGATGAGGTTATGAATCTTCATCGACTGAGATGGTTGGGCCACGTATTACGTATGCCTGAACACCGATTACCACGACGTGCAATGCTAACCGGTGTAGGGGATGGTTGGAAGAAAGTTAGGGGTGGCCAAACCAAAACGTGGCATCAGTGCCTGAAGTCACTAACTTCTAGTCTGAGCCATGTTGGTAGATGCAGACTACTTGGTTGGGGTCCGCGTGACTATCGTAACCAATGGTTGGAGACTCTTGGTGACATGGCTCAGAATTGATCACAATGGCGTCGGTGTATACACTCCCTGTCTTCCCTTAAACTAAGAGATTAAAATCACTTCATATCTTTCTTTCTACGAACTAATTCTTTCTTCCTATACTATATCCTTATTGCAACCTTTGACCTAACCACTGCTATGAATCCGGTGTTCATCTTGCTGTGCTAATGAGGTATGGCAACCTGGACCGATACACATATGTGCCTGGTCCTACGTTGTAGCTGACTGACTGACTGACTGCAATAGATTAGAATGAATTGAACATGAATGAATTTGGAGAGCAATCAAAACATCAGAATTAGAGGAATAATGGATTATGTTAAGGGACAACGCAAAGGAGATATCCAAATGATGTATTTAATGTAAGACCTTCATATTTTACCAAGCCACTGTAATTATGCGTTAAATAATAAATTGGTTTTCCCTGCTCGGGTTTTCATTCACTACAGTCTCAGTTAGGGCATCATCGAAATTGTGCGATTGAATGCGAACCGAATGGTTCTAATTGTTAAGCATTGGTGCAGAAAACCTGAAGCGGACGCACATCTCTAAGTGTAGTGAACAGAACACGGGTGGGGACAATCGAACTATGTTTAGCACAAATGACAGAGTTACTTGGTAAAATAGAAAAACCATACTATAATACTTAATTTGCAAAATGTTCATTAATTGTCTTGGACTTCATTGTTTTTGCATTTCCATACTAATTGCTTTCTATTCCCGCTTTTCCTTTCTTGATCTTCCCCATCTTCTGCCACCAGACATTACATTCCTGACTCGCGTTATATACTACTTATATCAATATAAATAGCTAGCACCACATAAGGAGTTCCGTAATGAAACGAAATAGCTATCCGATTCCTAGGTTTTAATAGTACCTCAGCTTTGATCAGTATATGGTGAATATATATAACCTACAAAACCCCTTCAACTGAATTATTTCTTTATTCTTTTTAGTTTTAAATAAAGTTTTATTTATTTCGTTTCATATTTTAAAACAATAAACACAAATGATATAGGCAGCAGCTGAAAAACTTTTGGCCTTATTAACATATCCTCATCCTGGTTGGTTAGTTGATATAGAACAGCGACAACAACAACAACAACAGCAATTGAATATGGATCCAAATGATCGATTAACATTGACAACAGAAATTCATCGTGATAAATTAATTGATCGTAAATTCGAAGATGATAAACGAGGAGAAATACATGAAAACAATTGTGAAACATTAAGTATGAATAAAAATGATTTATTTGATGAACTTGATGAAAATCCTGCATCACGTCAATTACAAATGAATGTACTACGAGAGACATGTATTACAGAGACAGTGTTTCTTATTGTTCGTTTATATCAAACTGCTGGATTACATCAAAAATGTATTGAATTATCTAATTTAGTTGTAGATAATGAATATGGTTTATTCAAGGTAGGTAGGATTTCTTTTGAAGTGAAGTAAAATATTCAAGCGTTTTTTGTTCCTTTTTTAAGGTTGCGATTAGTTATAAATGATGAATGGCAAACTAGAATTTTAATTGTCTTCCTTAATTACTTACGATTGTTACCTCTTGTGGAGGAGCATAAGTTGTTCACCAGGATTATCCATCGAACTCTATCCTGGACAATCCTTTCCAGTTTTTTCCAGTCTCTATTCATTGATTGATGGCTGCTTCCAATTCCCGACGTAATATGTTCCTTGATCTCCCTCTTTTCCTTTTACGTCCAGGATTCCAAGTTAAAGTTTACCTCTGCTGTAAGTTATAGGGTTACTGCCGGTCCCAAACCCGGGGTGAAGGAGGAGGATTAGGCATGGGGTCAACAACCATATCCCATAGAAAACAACCTTTCTATAAAAACACTAACAAATGGTCTTCCTGCTGCTATGAATTCGTGATGCGAACTAATTTTTTTTTAAAAAAAAGAATAGATTTACTGGACATCAATATCTTTTTGTTTGAAACTACTTTCATTTTTATTAAACGTCGGTGAAATAACTGAGGGGAAGTGGTCAAATTGATAATGCTACTCACTGGATGGATTCATTTATTTGAGCTTCATTGATTTTTGAACATTTTTCTTCTTCAACAACTAGTGGAGTATATAAATTTGTCTATCATTTGTTAACAATAAACTACATGATACAAATATGTTTTGGTCGAAGTTACCACATCATCATATCAGTAAAACTATAGAAAATTAATAAGGTAATTGTTTTGTCGGGTGGTGTCCGAAATCTAATACTGATACATGATATGCTACGCGCCAGTCCCTACCTCCAACTGACTACTTGGGCGAGAACACAAGAGTAGGCGAGTAAGTAAATCTGGCTTAAGAAATTAGTTCATTTTTTAGCCAATGTAATACACTTGTCCTTCAGGTTATTTCACATGGTCATCAAGTGACCCTCTGATTTGATTTCTTTTTATTAACTTACCATATCAGTGATATAAATTACAGTGTGGTACTTTATATCTCGAAGATACAGTACAAAATCAAATGAATGAGATTCATGCATGAATAGTTAAAAAATGTTACTTAATTCAGCCCCCCCCCAATACCCTGGTATGGCTGAGAGTGGGGAGAGTCCGCTCTCCCTCTCGAAATACTCTCACATGACCACGCGTACACAGCCTCTGCCAGGGAAGTCCTACTCAATGCCTTCTCGTGGCGGGGGTGTCGTTTACGAAAATGAGAGGACGAAAAGCGAATGTCCGGCGCTTTAACCGGATCACAAACCAATGGTGCACATGGGCTCCAGTATCCTGTGGGAACAAATGACGTATGAACCAATTGTTGGTCACCGGCTACCATGGGACTAAATCTCCTCACGGTGCTTTACTGCCTTGTGGGTTAGACCTTTAGGTCAAAGGCTCGGGGTGTGGTCCCCTAAGTAAACCACCTGCTTCGGTCTGGGCACCAGGAAAGTATCACAGCGCTCACACATATCGAATAAGATTTGTGTGGCGCATATATATTTGGTGCCCTCTTGTACCAATATTTATGTGTTCAAATAAATAAATAAATACTTAATTCAAGATCTTTCAGGAAGACAGGAATATGGCCTTATCAAAAAAACTCAGATAAAATACTTACTTCTACTCATTGTGTAATAGGATATATTTTTTTGTATTAGGGCATATTATTTCATTTATGATCTTTTTATTCAAGATACTTTTATTCTATTATGTTTTATTCTTTCTCTCCGTCTTTCTTTATATATCTAGTTGTTCTCTGGACCTCAGCTTCAAAATCTTCTTCATCATATTTCTGAATCAATTCAGTATTTAATTGACAATGAACAAGATCCATTGGGTTATATTATACATTAGTCATATGAATATGACTTACAGATATTGTACATGCCTCTCTGTCTAATGTCTAATCTATCCATAAAACAAAGTCTGCTGAACAAAAATCGTTTCTTTCTTGTCTATACAAATTGATAGAAATGTTTTTGTATCCCTATTTTGTGTTTTTCTATGTATAAAAGTCGTATAGAGATTTTTCTTTGTATGTGTAAATTGTTAATTCTTATTGAAGAAATAAATAATTTGTTTACTATATGGATCTACTCTTTTCACTTTCATCCTTCCTCCCCCTCACTTATCATACTGAAATATTTTCCATTATGTTTTCTATGTTTCAGTGTAGTTTAACCGAGGTAACCAATGCTGGTTGGTAAGTTCTTTTCATAACTATCAAGTTATGAAATTATTCTGATATTTTTATATAACAATTTGTTGGTGAATACTAAACATCACAGATTGAAATCATGAGTCAATTGAAGCTAGACCCCTATGGAAAACCTGGAAGCACTGGACGGTCGTTTCGTCCTAGTATGGGACTCTTCAGCAGTGCACAAACCGTGAGATTCGAATCCAGAACCTATCAGTCTCGCGCCAGGAGCTTCTGATAATAATCATCTGCTCACTAGTAACTGACTTCGCAAGATACTCCTGGAGTTCTAGTGAGAAGCCGTTACCAGTGGAGTTTAACCATGTCTGTTGTGAGATATCAACTCATTGAAGACAATGGTGTACGGTGGCGCAACTTCGTGGATTGGCTGAAGTTAGACATTAACACCATTGGATGCCGACTCAGTGGTCTAGTTGGTTAAGCGCCATACTAGGACGAAACGGCCGTCCAGTGCTTCCAGATTTTCCATGGTGGTCTAGCTTCAATTGACTCATGATTTCAATCTGTGAAATTTCTAAAATCTCCACGAACCCCTTCTGAATACTAAATAGACAATAATGACTTATCCAATGGGTGTATCATGTCCTAATCCCGAAAAGTAATCTCATACTCTTCAGTAATGTTGTAATTGAAGGTGACTAGACTATGGTCATAAGCGCGATGCTTATATTCTCCGGGAATATACATAGCTTTTAGTTCACTGTCGAGCTCGACATGTGATGTTTACTGGTGTACATTGTTCTTTATTATTGGATCAAGAATTCTAATATAATCCTTAATTTTAAGGTAGACCACCTTATGAGAAATTTGTAAGATATTGCACAGTGAAATTCTTCATATATTGATACCAGTGACATACTGTTATTGAGCATTTGTGAAGAATATGGGGATGGGATACTGGCGTGTTTCCAATCTGTTTCACGTGTGAAATAAAGTATACAACATATGCACAATGTTTGCTGGGTTTTATTTGTTGGTAGACATTTTAAAGTCATTTTTTAAACCCGTATACTGCCTTCGAACTCACGTGAAACGATTTTAAAGAAAAATAGTATTCATTAAAAGAGTTAGTTTACTCATAATTTTGAATCAGTACTTAGTCCTGAAGCAGTTGTAGAGTTGATGAAGTCAAATAATGCACAAGTTAAATAAATTGAAATTGCAAATGTGAATTATGTTAAAGAGCAACTCAGTGGTTTAAACTTGTTACGTTCAGCATGATACCTAAAAGCACCAAGACTAATCTTTATCACAGGATCGTGAACGCACACTCCGAACGAGTTCCAACTGGGAACGAGATACAGATCCGATATTCTGTGGTTTACAACAACTGTCCAATTAAAATCAGTCTTTAATGAGATCGAACAATGTCGGAAAATCAGTATTACTTGCGAATGTGTAGCAAGGAGCAGTCAAATGAAGATCTGACATCAGTTGATGAAGACATTAACTGTTAGCTTACGCCGTATTGGTAGATAATACGGACTGCCCGCTTGAAGTTTGCACGATTGTTCTAAACAGTGATTGAAGATGCTAGGTGACATAGCTCAGAATCGATCATAATCGTCCAAATGTATTAATTCTGTAATGTTAATGTCTAACTTCAATCTATTATCTTGCGCAACCCTTCATATGGTACTAGGAGATAAAATAAAAATGTATACATGGAGGATTACTAGATCTAAAATCTTGAGGGTAGATAAAGAATTAGAGGTTCTAAGCAATTATGAACAAGTCCTAAGCCATATTACCCAATGTCTCCGGTAATTGGTTAAATTTATCTCCCAGATCTTAGCTAGTTAATCTTTAATTGCAAGTACGTTTCAGACAGACAGTTGATTAATTTAGTTCCTGCGTAATCGTCACATTAACATCAATCCTTTGTCAAATGCCATAGATCCAATTCAAAGCTTTACCAATGAGACTATGTTCGATTAGACTGTTACAATAAGACGATCACGTTTTATCATCGTAACGCAATGATTATTATCATACTATATTATAACATGGGTCAAACTGATCCAATCACTGATCAGTATATGTTCATCTACAATCTATCATGAATCATAGAAATCTTTTTATTGTTTTATTCCTTGTGTACAGGAGTTTGTCACAAAAGACGTTGACAGAATATTTAAAGAAAACAGAGCATGAAACTTATGATGAGCTGATTACTCTGTTGTTGAATGTAAGTTTTAAAAACAACATTATTTAACAGAAAATACATTTTAATCAATAGTTCACCAATATATACTTAACTATGCTTGTAACCCCCCCCCCGCCGGCATGGAGCATAGGTTACTGATGAAGCAAATGCAAACATAGTGATATTTAGTACTTACCTTAGTCATATTCCATTCCCGTATTAAATTGTTAACAATTCCACCGAGTACCACAATATGCTTTTTAGATAATAATAAAAACCCCATCACTAATGGAATTGAACCAATTAGACGAAATTTTGTTCCAGGTGGAATATCCATACTGAAATTGAAACATTAATTAATGAATGATAATTTTTCAAAGAAAAAAAATAGAATGTTATTAAATGCAACTAAGATCTACTACTCACAAATACTTAAAGTAGTAGTAGTAGTAGTAGAAACTAAAATTTGTTTTAATATAAATATCAATAATAATAGTACTAAGTGGTGTACCAAGAGTTCAACAGTGTGATAACAACAAAAGTAAACCAACAACATTAGGGTACTTCCTTTCTACAACAAAAAACAACTTAAAATAGACCAATCAATCAACCAACTGATCAAGACGAATTCAAGCGATCTCCATCGAATGCTTTTTACAATCAACTAACCAAGAACATATTTGAAAGATTTACCATGAAAGAAATTCGACTCAGAATACACATATATCATATCACAAATCATCATGATATTTGTCTGTATATTTAGATCAATATACCATGGGATAGTGATACGTAATTAGCTTGAAGCTACGATTTTGGGCAGGTAAATACTATAATAATATTATAACGGTTAGACACAATTCTAACCTGTAACCTTTGATCTGACAACGTAGAATAATAGATAACAACAACATTGGACATTTTACTGAAAATATGTCATTAAAACTCATGTTATGGGAGTTTACAAAAAACCAGTTGACTTGAATATCAAAAGACTGAGTTGTCCAACAGCTTAGCAAAAAACTTGTTATGAATCGTTTAATAAACAAGAAGACGTTTAACACAAACACACACACACACACACTATTCATTCAGTTCTTATCATTTCCAACCATGTTTTCCTGTCAAAACAACTAAACACCCGACACTACATTCATTTAGAATGCTGTAGAAGATGCATTTCTTAAAATTTGTTTCCACTCTTTTAATAAGCTATTTATTTGATGACAACTCAGACGACACGTTGAATATAACTTTGCGTAGTAGATGGATGGTAGTCTGGTCACCAAGTCTCAGTGGTTACGGTCTAGTACTGTGAAGTTGTGTGAGGCTGATCCGAAACCCACAGGGAGTATTAATTTCCACAAGATTAAATGTACGCCTCCGATCTGATGAGCTTCTGACGTAATTGTTTGATTTTGGGTCGTCCTTTTGTTTGTTATTGATTGTGTGTATAAATGCAAGTGGTTTTTTTATCGATGCATACTACTCACTGTTTCCTTATTTCTTATTGCTTTTTGTTTCTTTCTTTTTTATGTAATGATGCTTTAAATTCTTGGTCAAACCTAAAGTCGGATATTCGTGAATACGGTTCACCATGGCTAGGAGATTTGAAAAAGGCTAGTCATGTAAGAGAAGTTGTAGTTGTTTATGATCGTTGTTATTTCGTAGTCGAATTTTCTTAAAAAATGATTGTTTCTCTCTATAATTTCTGTTTAATAACAATGAAGTATTTTCAGGACCAAGTGTAGAAGTTTTTTTAAAGATAGACTTGATGGAATATGGCTAACAGTGGAATCCAGGACGCACGTTTCGTCCTATTTTTCACTCGTCAGCTTGATGTACCTGGATGTTCACTCCGGATCTCGGACAGAGTACTGTTTTCTTCAGACTCCATCATGTTATTTACTTAGTTGCTGAGTCCAAATATCCACTCACTTGTGCAATTTGAAATGGTGTAGATTTTCCCGTTCATATTTTTGACCGATATTCTATCAGTCTTGGTTAGTATATGGGCATCCTGTGAGGATTGCGTCAGTGTAGTCATTATGACGCAAGTTGACAATATATGTCTAAACTGTAAACCAAGGTTGATGTGGGTTCGAAATAGATAGAAAGCATCAGTTCTTTAAAAATTTAAAATACGCCTTGCTAGCGTGTGACAACTGGCACGAAACCGGGCTCTAGTATCTCTGGCCACTTACCTCTAATTACATAACACTAAAGCATAACGCTCATGGATGTTCCACCATTTAGACTAAGGTATAGAAAAATCACCACATTTATTCATTCGTTTACTTTTCTTTTGTTTTAAATGTACGGAGTATTCTATTTTATGAAAATTCATACTTATTTGACACATTTGTGTTTATGTACGCTTATGTTTGAACTACTGCTCAGAGGTGATGGCTAGTAATTATTACATAGTTGCCCGAATCTAATTACCTGCAGCAAAGTTTGACTGTACCATTTATTAATTGATAGTGAACTATATTAACAGTGATATAATGAGATGAATAGTGTTGAAGTTGAACTTTTAAGACTATCATACGAAGGATTATTGTTTATATTTTTTCTGTATTATTAGTAGACGTTTGTATCGTTGTCTTATATATTCTATTTCTAAGCTTTCATTTGATTCATAAATCGTTGTCATACTGTAGTGAATGAGAACACAAATGGGGACAATCGAATGTATTTGAACACAAAAATTATAAAACATCTGAGTACCATACAGTGAATACTTCATTTGCAAAATGTCAATCAATTGTTTCAAACTTGACTGTTCTTTTTGCAACTATCAGTCAATCGTCTCGAACTCCATCGTTCCTTTATTTCTACAGCAATTATTCACTGTTGTCGTTCTCTTTTCTTAACATTCTACTGCTAGGTATTTCACTTTCGATTGATGATCTTTCCGCTTACTGTTTATACGGGATTTGAATCGAAAACTGCATCTCTGTGCTAATGTGGTATGGCAACTCGAACTGATGTATGTACGTATGAAGTTCTACCTTGTTACTGACTGACTGACTACTTATATCTGTCAACATATGTAGCACATACAACAATACGTCTTATTAATCCTGTTTTATCTCTAAATAATGGTTTTCCTATTACTCTGGTTTTGCGTCACTCATGATTAAGTTATGTACACATTTTAATTCCTTAATTGTATTGCTGTGTGATCAGATATTTGAAGTTTATTTATAGTGTGAAATTCCAATATTGATTGAATTGTGCACAATTATGAACCATTGTGATCGATTCTGATCCATGTCACCCAGATTCTACGACCATTGGTTAAGACATTCATGCGGACCCCAACGGAGTAATGTGCATTCACCAACATGGTTAAGACCACAAGTTAGTGTCTTCAAGCACTGATACCATCTGCGTATTCTAAGTCGATAGGTGGATCTCCTGGTAAGAGATCGATTCCTGATAATCCAGTGGATGAGAACGTTATTTTTAGTAGTAGGTCTGTGATGAAGTTGAACAAAAATGGAGAAAGTGAACGACAGCCTTGACGGATGCCACTTGAGGTTGCAAAATCAGATGACAGTTCGCCATAAGCTCTGACTCGACTAGTAATGTTCGAGTAAAGAGCCTTTACAAGGTTTATGTACTTCTGAGGTGCACCTTTCAATGAAAAACAGTGCCACAGAATCTCGCGGTCAACGGAGTCAATGCTGCATTTAAGTCAAGAAAGACCACCATTGTCGGACGGCGATAAGTATGCCTGTGTTCTAAAATCTGACGAATGGTGAATATGTGGTCAGTTCAGCCACGACCAGGTCTGAAACGAGCCTGCTTTCTGGTCATTATGGTCCATTCACATAGGATCCAATGCAACACACCCAAGCGAAAAAATCTGTTTTCTTTCCAACACAATATTTCTGGTTTAACTGCCGTTTCACAATAAAAACAGCGAAAAGATTTTGGTGGAGTTATCATCGACATCAGGATAGAAAGGGGGCATACATCCGTGTAAACATTTTTTCACCTCATTTTTAATTGTTTACATCTATTTCAGATATGTCAGAAGTAAAATGTTTGTCATTAATAACATTGAATGATCGTCACTGTATATCGCAAATTGTTTGAAGTCGGAATTTTACTACTGGATACCAACTTAGTGTTGCTGATGCTTAAGCGTTTGTCAGGAGGTCTGAGGACACTGGGGTCGACTTCTGGTGGAATCATTATTGTATACACCGTTAAGGAGTCATGTGGTAGGAAGAAACAGTTATCTGGCACCCCCTGATTTTCACTAGTACCCTAACTAAGATCAATCTGTAATGAATACAACTGGAATATCTTTTTAAAAGTCGTTTTTCTAAATATTTTTCTATTTTCCTTCTTTTATATTGAGACAGCTTGAAGCGAATGGTCGAATTGTTCAGCTTACTGGGTTACGTAATATTAGTATACCACAGGCTACCGAAGATCTCATGTTAAATAATTCATCTGATCACCGTGGACCATGTTTATTACGATTTACTTTCACTGATGGTCGTAATCAAATATTGGGTTTAGATATGCAGAGTAAATCAGATTTGAAGTAAGCACCCAACTGATATATACACACATATATTGTATTATCTTTACGATCTGTACTGGTTGTATATTTTTCTTGATAGTCTGGATTCTTCAGCGAGGCGTACTTATATATTCAACGTGTCGTCTGAGTTGTCATCAAACAAATAACTTATTAAAAGTGTGGAAACAAATTTTAAGAAATGCATCTTCTACAGCATTCTAAATGAATGTAGTGTCGGGTGTTTAGTTGTTTTGACAGGAAAACATGGTTGGAAATGATAAGAACTGAATGAATAGTGTGTGTGTGTGTGTGTGTGTGTAAAACGTATTCTTGTTTATTAAACGATTCATAACAAGTTTTTTGCTAAGGTGTTGGATAACTCTGTATTGTGATATTCAAGTCAACTGGTTTTTTGTAAACTCCCATAACATGAGTTTTAGTGGCATATTTTCAGTAAAATGTCCAATGTTGTTGTTATCTATTATTCTACGTTGTCAGATCAAAGGTTACAGGTTAGAATTGTGTCTAACCGTTATAATATTATTATAGTATTTACCTGCCCAAAATCGTAGCTTTAAGCTAATTACGTATCACTATCCCTTGGTATATTGATCTAAATATACAGACAAATATCATGATGATTTGTGATATGATATATGTGTGTATTCTGAGTCGAATTTCTTTCATGGTAAATCTTTCAAATATGTTCTTGGTTAGTTGATTGTAAAAAGCATTCGATGGAGATCGCTTGAATTCGTCTTGATCAGTTGGTTGATTGATTGGTCTATTTTAAGTTGTTTTTTGTTGTAGAAAGGAAGTACCCTAATGTTGTTGGTTTACTTTTGTTGTTATCACACTGTTGAACTTTTGGTACACCATTTAGTATTGTTATTATTATCATTTTTAAAACAACTTGTAGTTTGTACTACTACTACTTTAAGTATTTGTGTGTAGTGTAGTGAACAGAACACGGGTGGGGACAAACGAATGTATTTAGCACAAAATTACAGAGTAACTTTGTAAAATGGAAAAGCACTAGTAAATCGTTAGTTTGCAAAATATCAATCCGTCATATCAAACCGGACTGTTCCTGTTGCAATCATCAATCCATTATCTCACATTTCATTGTTCATGAGTTTTTTTCTTCAAATTGCACTGTGTTCCCGCTCTTCCTTTCTTGATCTTCCCCCATCTTCTGCTGCCAGACATTACGTTCTTTAACTCGCGTCATATACTACTTATTATCAATATAAGTAGCACACATCACAGTATTAGTTCTTAGTCTCATTTCATAACGTCCTATATTGTTTATTTAAAAAAAATTATTTTTCATTAATTAATATTTGAATTTCAGTATGGATATTCCACCTGGAACAAAATTTCGTCTAATTGGTTCAATTCCATTAGTGATGGGGTTTTTATTATTATCTAAAAAGCATATTGTGGTACTCGGTGGAATGGTTAACAATTTAATACGGGAATGGAATATGACTAAAGTAAGTACTAAATATCACTATGTTTGCATTTGCTTGTTTGCTTTTCATTTGATTTCCGTTTGTGTGAAGAGCTTTTAACAGTTAACTGTAGAAACAGTGATTAACGTGTGTATTGTGTTCACATGTTTTGTAGTCTAATGGTGATTGTTTTTGATTAATTTCAGTATTTCGATAGATTGTCGTTTTCTGAGCTGATCTGATGCACATTACAGGATCCACAATTACTAACACGTCATAGATGAGGAAAAGTGTGATCTACAAAATACTCACAATAGAAGATTTTGAAACTTTGACAACAGTCATCGTAAAATAACAAACCATCCATCCCAGAGGAAAAAACCCCTTCGAAGACATCCATAATGTCATAAATTCCAGTATATTTATGATTGAGTTGGATGTATGCTCAACATCCGTTACTACTAATTAGTTAATTTGGAATTTATGATTCAGTTTAATTTTATCTATGCTCAAATTCATAATTTTATAAGTTACTTTTACCCTTTTTAGTTTCTTAAAGGAACAGATAATCGTCTGATCGGTAGTGGTGCTCCGATGTTTGTACCGTTCGGTAGTCGTGAAGCTTCTAGCCTTATTCAGACAGAAGGAAAATTTCTTAATCAATTACGATCAGATCGAGAGCGTAATCAAAGTAAGTGTGTGTGTGTGTGAGAGAAAGTATACTAAATTAAGTTTTATTTGTTATTTATACTATGTGTACATAAATTCCAACGTTGTATGAATAGAATGACGTTGCATCCCGTTGCATTTCTCAGTTCACATTTATGTGTGAATACACATGTCTCTGAGGTTGTGAACAATGATTAAATGATCTACATAGTTAGTGATTTGATATATTATTTGAAGGAGGCGCTTTGAACTAACATAGAATTCTTAACTTAACTAAGTTTTAAGAGTTAAATTATTTCATATTCTTCCCTATATTTAAACAATTTACATGACTGATACTTTCTAATTATTACGCAATGTTAAGTCATGCAGTTTCTGTAGTACATCAGTCATATCTCCTTCAGAGAATACTCCTTATTGTTGGCAATCTACTGTGTTTCAAAACATCACAAATATCGTGATAAAATCCCGTAGATATATGATTTTCTTAAAATATCAGTTCATTCACAATCATTGGATACAGGAATCGACCTGTTAGAAAGCACAAAATACTAAACAATTCATCGTTGTCACCAACACAAGACAACATTTATGATAATCCATGGTTTTGTAGCATTCCTACAGTCTTTTCAATCGTCACTAAACTACTGATCCACCATTAAAGTGGGTTATTTTCTTCATTACGTTAGCTCAATGAAAATCTGTCAATAGTTTGTGAACTTCCGGAAGTTTCTACAGAAGTGAGAGGAAATCCTCGGAGTTATATTATGAAACCGTGTGAAAAGTTTACCCACGAAAGACAATAGAAGTTGGTTGCGTAATATCGTGGATTGACTGGAGTTATGCATATTGGATACTGGCTTAACCGCCTAAAGATTATGTGTTCATGCGTGAGACTAAAGGTCTTCAGTTTGATTGTTGATTGCAGGGTTGCGAACCCTCACTAGTGAGGAGGAGCCCAAAGTTAAAATAAATTAGCCATCTAGTGCTTCCATGTTCCGGTGGTTCTCTAACGTAGATAAGTTCGTGACAGCAATAAAAACTGTAATAATAGTTTAGTTCAGGTATATATTTGACAGATCATTTTGAAACATGCATAACACATGTTTCTTAGTGTTTGTAATTTACAGCGACATTATTATTTTGCGTTTAAAAAGACAAGTTTCAATAATAATTCAAGTATACACGTTAATTATTTTCATATTATTTATTTATTTAAACACGTAAACATTGGTACAATGAGGCACCAAATAGATATGCGCCACATAAATCATTCGATCCGTGTGGGGGCTGGGATACTGTCTGAGTGTTCAAACCAAAGCAGGTGGTTTTCTTAGAGGGCCACACCCAGAGCGTTTGACTTTAAGGTCTAGTCCACAATTTAGTAGAGCAACGTCAGGAGATGCAGTCCTATGATAGTCGGTGACCAACGACTAGTCCATATTCCATGTTTTCCGTCAATATCCTGGAGCCCATGTGCACAATTGGTTTGGAATCAGGGTTTTCCAACTAACTCCCCTGGCTGGACTCTCCGTGTCCACCAACCCGGTTAGAGCGCCGAACATTCACTTTTCGTTCTGTCATTTTCGTAAACAACAGATCACCCGCGAGGATTCGATGAGTAGGACTTCCCTGTCAGTAGCTGTATTCACGTGGCCATGTGAGAGCGTTTGGAGTGGGAGAGCTGACTCTCCCCGCCCTGGGCCATACCAGGGCATTTCGAGGCAATTATTTTCATCACTTGCTTTTTATGTAAGCATGAATATGTATATATATATGTACACATTTATATTTCTAGTGAAATTTGATTCATTTCAAATGATTACAACTAATCGTAATGAAGATCAAGTAGAAAGTGAATTACAAACATTATTCAATGAACATCGTAAAGAAGTATTAGCTGAATTGAAATCATCAACAACTTTATGTACACCTTTATCATCTCATAATCATATTAGTGGTAATGATGTCACTAGCGATATCAATAATACAAATGATCATCAAAGAATATTTTCTGGCAATAAACCACGACGATTTCGACCAGGTTTATCAAGGTAAATATTCTTTAGAAACTGTTTAGTCGATATCTATTACTCCATAATGATCATCTTTAATCGGTTATTAATGAGTGAACTCATTTATTTCGGAAATTATTAAAAAGTCACTAGTTATAAATACGTATCAGAACTTTGAAAATGTGTTTTGAAGATTAGTACAATCAATCATCAATGAAATGACAGTATTACTTAGTTGATTACACTGTGACGATGATTGTTACAATTATTGAGAATCAAAGTTTAATCACTAATATAGTTATGAACTAGTACTGATGAGAAGTTCCAAAATAAGACAAAACAATTAGTGTTTAGTGCTTTAAATCAACTTTCATTTGCTATAGAAAAATGGCTTGAAATTAATCTCTGTCGTACCGCTGTTTATTTATTTGAACACATAAATATTGGTACAAAGGGGCACAAAATAGATATGAATCACCCAAGTCAATTGATTTGTGTGTGAGCTGTCCAGACTGAAGCACATAGTTTTCTTAGGGGGTTAAACCAGGAGCTTTCAACCTGAAGGTCTGATCCACAAAGTAGTGGAGCAACGTCACCCATGGTAGTTGGTGACCAACAATAGGTTCATACGACATTTGTTTCTTTAGAATCTTGAAGCCAATGTGCACGATTAATTTGGAATCAGGGTTTTCCAGCTAACTCTCCTAAGTGGATTCTCCGTGTCCACCAACTCGGTTTAAGCGCCGGACATTCACTTTTCGTTCTCTCGATTTCGTAAACAACAAGTCGGCCGCGAGAATTCAGTGGTTAGGACTTCCTTGTCAGTAGCTGTATACGCGTGGCCATGTGAGAGCATTTGGAGAGGGAGAGCGGACTCTCCCCACTCTCGGCCGTACCAGGGCATTTGAGGGCGTAACATTGAGATATATGATATATAATATAAAGCAATAGACATTGATGATGAAATTAATTAAAACTACGAAGATTATAAACAATAACTATTTATATTGTAAATAAACAAGTGAGAGACTATTTATAGATGGAATTGGAAAACCAATGAAGTAAGGTTGTGTAATTATATATAGTCTGGAAACCGGTAAGATGGAGTGTGTGATAGTATTTAACAACAGAATATTTACATATGTTTCAGACTAGTTGAATTTAGTTATAAAAGAGATGGAGTGGTAAGTTGGTAATTGTGTACAATACAAAATTGAAGAGTTACGTAATAATTACATAAGGTTTGAAGAGATTCAGTCAGCTACAACGTACGACCAGGCACATATATGCATCGGTCCAAGTTGCCTTACCTCATTAGCACAACAAGATGGACACCAGATTCATAGAATCAGTTAATTCAATGGTGATAATATATAGAAGAAAGATTACATATAAAGATATAGTACAGGAAGAAAGAATTAGTTCGTAGAAAGAAAGATATGAAGCAATTTTAATCTCTTAGTTTAAGAGAAGACAAAGAGTGTATACACCGACGCCATTGTGATCAATTCTGAGCCATGTCACCAAGAGTCTCCAACCATTGGTTTGAAGAGATTACATAAGTTTAGAGAATTGAATGTATGAAAAAATAACCTCGGTCAATAAAAGGATAATTTTGGCTTAAATGAAATAAGAATTAATGTAAACATTGGATAACACAATAAAATAACAATTATACTACTAATAGTATAAATAATTACAGGAAATTTTGTGAATTTGTCAAAGTGATTACTGTTTCGCTCTAAGGCGAGATATCCGTCTATCAATTAAGGGACGAGTATACTGCACGACAGTTGGTTCCGTTCAATTTACGGCTACAAAATATGGCCATTAGGGGTAGAAGACACTCGTAAGCTACCAGTATTTGATCACAGATACCTTAGAAATATTGCTCGCATCTGCTGGGATTACCGAGGGTTAAGTAATAGTGAGGTTAGGTGCAGGATATCAGATAATGATGGTAAATCAGTTGATGAGGTTGTGAATCTTCATCGACTGAGACGGTCGGGCCATGTGTCTCGTATGTCTGAACACCGATTACCACGACGTGCAATGCTAACGAGTGTTGGGGATGGTAGGAAGAAAGTTAGGGGTGGCCAAACCAAAATGTGGCATCAGTGATTGAAGTCACTAACTTCTAGTCAGAGCCATGTTGGGAGATGGAGGCTACTCGGTTGGGATCTGCATGATTGTCTTAACCAATGGTTGTAGACGGTGTGTGACATGGCTCAGAATCGATCACAATGGCGTCGGTGGTGTATACACTCTTTGTCTTCCCTTAAACTGTGAGACTAAAATTTTTTCCATATATTTCTTGCTGTCAACTAATTCTTTCTCCCTGTACTATGTTCTTATGTGCAATGTTTCTTTTATATATTATCACCACTGAACTAACTACTTTTATGAATCCGGTGTTCATTTTGTTGTGCTGATGAGGTATGTCAACTTGGATCGATGCATATGCGTGCCTGGTCTTACGTTGTAGTTGACTGAACTAATTGCAAACACAGACAATGGTTTTTGCCCAAAAAAATTGAATCAAAGTGTAGTGTCGGTTATTATATTAAGCCTATATACCTTATTCTAGCTTTCGAACAGCCCATTCTATTCATTCCACTCGAGTCACATTCTAACCTTGTTATTTATTCACTTATCAATCTTGACTGTTTTTATATGATCGCATGTGTGTACACTTCCCGTCCCATTCATCACATGTCTGTAACTTATTTTTGTGTGCCTATAAATATTGCTTGACGGTTGACTGAAGGAGAGTTGGATTACCTGCCATCTCCACTGCGCGTCGTTTCTCTTATCTTTGTTCCCTTTGCTTCATATACAAAATATATGTATTCAAAAGTCCATTCTCGTTATTTGACTTATTTAATTCCGTTATTGACTAACGCGATTGAAGTCGATGATTATATACAAGAATAAGCGACATATAAATTTCAACAACAATCATCATTACAATCTCCTTGGAGTCAGATCTCGGGCCACTAAAGTGGAGAGCTCTTTCGACAACATTGTTCGATCTAAATGACGATTAAATAACGGGTCTCCACAAAAGTACTAGTAATTATATACAGACATAAATGATGGCTATCATTGAAATTTAAAATACATATTTCAGCTTATTTAAAACTTGTCAGATGATGGATCTACTTGCATATTAAAATCATTGTTCATTTCGGGACTCGAACTCATTACTATTCACTTCAAATATTAACATATTATCTATCTAGTTACTGAGTTTGTTCACTCTCACTTGTATCTATGTAAATATGTATATGTATATAACATACATCGTGTTTTTTTTCTCTTTCTTTTAATAATCAAATTTCAGATTTTATGAACTTCAATCACAAAAAACAATGGAATATGATATATCTATAGCAAAATTATTATCTTTAGGTTATCCATATCAAATAGCAAATCGTGCATTAAAAGAGAATCATAATAATTATCAAATTGCTTTAGATTATTTATTATCTAAATCTACATCAATTATGAATATTGAAGATAATTCAATGATGAATAATAATTATTCTATCAATAATACATCACGTGGAATCCATTCACGTGGTATTCATGTTAATAATAGTCGTAGTAGTCGAGGTTATGAACGTGGTCATCGTGGCAGGAGTCGACATGATGATTCTGATGGATATGAATTTAATTCTAATCGAGTAAGTTTATTGTTAATTTATAAATAACAATTCTATTAATTTGCTCTGTGTATCCAGTTTTGAGCTACATTTTCTTTGAATGCTAATCAGGTTCAAACTTATGATTGACTGCTTGAAATTACTGTCGCCATTTAACGATCACTGGTTGTGGATATATTTTGATTTTAACTGTTTATTTTATATGCTAATCAATTATTACAAACTCAACAGTTCCATGTTCTATAAGCAAAGATGGATGATGACTAGCAATGGAATCTAGGATAGGCGTTTCGTCCAATTCGGGGATTCGTCAGATGTTATATTATACGTGTTTACCAGTACAGAATGAAATGTGCTCATTCAATGGATCGATCAATAAATTATTCAAAATGAGCTTAGTTTAAACAATAAATGTTTATTGGAAATGATTTTCACTATCATACAAGAGAGAAACAGTTAGATAACTTTGGGCTGCACATTGATATTAAACTACTTTTATTTTTCAATATCGTATTGTGTTAGGTCTTTTAAATCTCTATATATATATCGTCTCGTAGAAGGGTTTCATTATGATTGGATTTAGGCGTGTCCGGGTTGACTTATTTATTTATTCCAGTTACTTACTTACCTACTACTTTGCTTACGCCTGTTACACCCAATGGAGCATACGCCACAGATCAACATTCTACAACCCACTATGTCCTCAGCATTCTTCTATACTTCTATCCCATTTTTGTTCATTCTTTCCATGTCTGTCTCCATTTCTCGGCGTATTGTGTTTTTTGGTCTTCCTATTCACCCTCATTGACCTTGAGGATTCCATGTGAGGGATTATCTTATGACGCAGTTCGATGCTTTCCTCAATATGTGTGTCCTATCCACTCCCAGCGCTTCGTCTTGATTTCTTACTCCGCTGGGATTCGGTTTGTTCTCTCCCATAGTAGGTTGTTGCTGATAGTATCTGACCAACGGATCCAAAGTATTTTGTGTAGACAACTGTTATTAACAAACGCTTGTATCTTCTGGATGATGGTTGTGGTAGTTCTCCAAGTTTCCATCCCATACAGTATCACTGTTTTGACATTTGTATTGAAAATTCTGAATTTGGTGTTGGTTGACAGACAGTGGTTTTGAGTTCCAGATGTTCTTCAGTTGTAAATATGCTGCTCTTGCTATATCGATCCGCGCCTTCACATCTGGATCAGATCTACTGTGTTCATCAATGATGATGCCCATATATGTAAAGGTTTTTACACCTTCCAAGGCTTCTCCGTCATGCTATTTTCCCCCTCGAAATGCAAAATGTTGCTTCAGGATTGCGTTGAATGGACACTTGAACTAATGATAAGGAGTGATGTCGTTGAACATGATGACGCTTCATTTATCTTAGGTGTCTCATCAGCCCTTGTGGTCTAGTGTGTGACGAAATCTCAGCACGGATACAGAAGGCTTGACTTGCATCATTTATGGCGTAGGCGAGATATCCGTCTATCAACCAAAGGACGGGTTTACTGCTCGGCAGTTGGTTCGTTCCTACTTTATGGCTGTGAAACATGGCCAGTAAGAGTAGAAGGTATTTGTAGGTTACTAGTATTCGATCATAGGTGTCTTCGAAGCATTGCTTGTATATACTGAGACCACCGAGTAAGCAATGCAGTTGTTAGGAAACGGGTACTAGGTAAGGATGGCAAATCAATTGATGAAGTAGTGAAACTTCATCAGTTGAGATGGCTGGGACACGTGTTACGTATACCCAACCTAACCACTGATTGCCCGATGTGCGATGTTTTGTAGTGTAGGAGTTGTTTGGAAGAAATCTAGTGGCGGTCAGATCAAAGCATGGTACGAATCTATGATGTCTCTGACAAGTGGACTGAGCTATGTTGGTAGGTGTAGACTACGTGGTTGGAATCGCGAGAGGATAGTAACCGATGGTTAGAGACACTGAATGACATGGCTCAAAATCGTTTGCAGTGGCCCTGGTGCATCCACTCTTTGTATTCTCCCAAATGCTAATCTTTTGAATTCTCCATGTCCCTTTCTTTTTTCTCTTTCCAAATTTATTTCACTGGATTATACTCCTTGAATAACATCTTCAAACTCTAATGTTTCCGATTACTGCTTATACTCTTACTTCCTCTACAGCAACAGGATTTGAATTGACAACTGCATCTTTGTGCTAATGTGGTATGGCAACTTGAACTGATGTACGTACGTACGAAGTTCTACGTTGTTACTGACACCGGTTAGCATTGCACGTCGTGGTAATCGATGTTCAGGCACACGTGACCCAATCGTCTCAGTCGATGGAGATTCACAACCTCATCAACTGATTGACCATCATTATCTGATATCCTGCATCTAACCTCACTATTACTTACCCCTCGTTGATCCCAGCAGACACCAGCAATAATTTAGTAAGCCATACAAGTTAGTAGTTGATTATATAAACAAGAGTTGCACACATCAAATTAGTTGGGATGAATGTTATTATCATTATTGTAAGCTGAAAAAACAATGATCAATGGAGTTGAATGATGTTAGATTATTGATGAATAACATTGGAAGATTATCGAAGAATATTGATAAACCATTGGAAGTTAGAAATGTAAACCACTGAATGCTGGCTCTGTGATAAGAATATTATAGAAGTCCTGTAAGAACTGAGATTTTTATTTCTACTTTGAATTCTTATTAAATGATTATTGTAGGGTATCTACATTGTTATTCTATTTGTTAAATTTCAGTCTTCTATTGGAACTACAAATGATCATCATACATTGTTGACCCGATCATCAACAGGACTTACTCGTTTAGATGATTTAATTGTTGATTCAAAACCAATAACAACATCGAATGCATTATTATCATCTTCATCATCATCAAATATTATATCAAAAACTTGTATTCTACCAGTTGGTTGTCCAATTCTAGCACAAAATATATCTGGTGATTATGAAGAAGCTCAATTAATTGGTCATTTCTCTGCACAACAATTTAATAAAGCTTTTAATGGTAACAATGTCATTATTGATGATACGGGTTCCAGGGAGAAGGTTGTACTTGTTGCTTATCATCATCAACAGAAGAATAATCCTGAAATAATTGTAGATGAAGAAGAAATTGTACCGATCAGTTTGATAAGAACATTAAATAAAGAAAAGGTAAGTAGTAGTATGTTCACTGTACATGTGACATAAATTAATGCGTATATGTGTATGTGTCTCCAGTGTCAGGCAAGGTTGTTTGCTCTCATCCTTTGTCTTTCTCCTGGAGATCGACTGGATCATGAAGACATCAACAGCTAGAGAGAACTATGGGATACAGTGAACAGCTAAAATGCAATTGGACGATCTAGACTTCGTAGATGATCTGGCTCTTCTATCGCACATGCAACAACAAATTCAGGAGAAGACGACCAATGTAGCAATAGCCTCAGCAAGGGTAGGTTTCAACATACACAAAGGGAAAAGAAAGATTCTCCAATACAACACTGCATGCAACAATCGAATCACACTTGATGGAGAACATTTTGAGGATATGAAAACCTTTACATATTTGGGCAGCATCATTGATGAACACAGTAGATCTGATCCAGATGTGAAGGCGCGGATCGATATAGCAAGAGCAGCATATTTACAACTGAAGAACATCTGGAACTCAAAACCACTGTCTGTCAACCAACACCAAATTCAGAATTTTCAATACAAATGTCAAAACAGTGATACTGTATGGGATGGAAACTTGGAGAACTACCACAACCATCATCCAGAAGATACAAGCATTTATTAATATCAGTTTTCTACACAAAATACTTTGGATCCGTTGGTCAAATACCATTAGCAACAACCAACTGTGGGACAGAACAAACAAGATATCAGTGGAGGAAGAAGTGCTTTAGGTGGATAGGACACACAGTGAGGAAAGCACCGAACTGCGTGACAAGACAATCCCTCACATGGAATCCTCAAGGCCGATGGGGGGTGAATAGGAAGACCAAAAAACACAATACGCCGATAAATGGAGACAGACATGAGAAGAATGAACAAAAATTGGACAGAATTGGAAAGGAATGTCGAGGACAGAGTGATTTGTAGAATGTTGATCTGTGGCGTACGCTACATTGAAAGTGACAGGCATAGGTAAGTAAGTGTATGCGTTTGCATTCATGTGTATAGATGAGAATGTGCTTGTTTATATTTCGAAGGTCTTTGAAACATTGCTGTCTTTTTTGATTAAAGTGCAACAGAGTTATCCAATTTCTTACTTTTTTTTCTAGAAAAACAAAACTGATTTAGTCAAGAGTTTAAGCCTGAAGCATCATTGCTCATCTATAACAGAAGGATAGTTTAATAAAAACGTCAGATTTCACAATAACACATTTCGTCTTAATCCATAGTTTTTCCTTGCCACCGATAAGACCTTAAAAGTATAAAGCTAACGCATTACAAAAAATACAGTATATATAAGTGGCTTCATTTAGTTGTACTTTCGACTGTGCGGTCACATTTCTAGTTCATCTAGATGATCTTTAATCAAAACCTCCTCTTTCAAGTCTGTTAGCGGGACATAGACTGGATTAAAGGATGCTCAATGCTCGATTGCTTTGGTGGACGCTGATTAGCTAATTCTTATCCAATCACTACTAGTCGATACTTGGAGAATACTCTGGAATCTTCTCATGTCAAAACTATAACTATACTAACGTTTTCCCTATTGTGCTTCTTGCTTCCATCTAACCTTGTTGTTTGGAATATAATCTCTTTCCTGTTCAACCGTGTCGAGTGATTTGGTGTCCATGAATATAACCGTAAGAAAGAGATTATAACAAAGTCGAACTAGAATAAAGTATCTTTCTACAATGTTAGTTAGTCACAACTTCTTTTATATCACTTGACATCCCATAATTAATCTGTATAGTCCATTCATTTGGTCACTTTCTTTCTGATTGTGAATAATTTTATTGTATGCATTTTTATTCAGATTACTATAGATATGGTACCTCCTGCACCATTGGACAGGATACTACCATATTGTGTTCAATCACAATCTGAATATACAGATGCCAGTCGATATGATGAAATTCCTTCTACTGATTATGGATTTACAAGTCGACCATATCAATCTAGTAGAGGACGCAGAGGTGTTGGTGGTGGTAGTCGTAATCATAGAGTGTTTCGTGCTGGAAGAGGCAGTGGTGGTAGACGTTCACGTTGTAGAACTAATCACTTCTGATAAAGAAATAGCAATTTTAATAAATTTATTACTTTTCTTTTCATAATTATGCTTGAAATCAGTAATTTGCTTTGTAAAAATGTGTACATACACTTTGTTTTGTATCAGAAACATTTCTCTACACCTATTATCTTTTCTTCTTCTTCTTCTTCTTCTTCCTCTTCCCCCCTCTTCTTTTTCTTCTTCTTCTTCTTCTTCTTCTTCGTCTTCTTCTGTATTGTTGTTATTGTTGTTGTTGTGTTGTATGAAATTGTATTTTAATGTGTTTTGTGTTTTGACTGAAACGTTTCAGTAAAACAAATGAACGGTTCAGTATAAACTTCAGAAATTGTCTGTTACACATATGTATTTAATATACTGTACATAGACAAATTGTTTCTTTCTGTCAGTATTGGGTTGTGGAAATTAAGTTATTGATTGAGATCGTGAACTGATTGATGTTAGACCACCATTGAGAACCTGAAAGCACTGGATGGTCGTTTCGTCCCAGTGTGGGGTTCCTCATCAGTGCGCATCTACGATCCCGATCGCGAAATTCGAACTCAGGGCTTTCAGTCTCGCGCGTGAACGCCTAACTTCTAGACCACTAAGCCGGCCGGCATCCAACGGTGTTAATGTCTAACCTCAATCAGTTCACGAAATTGCGCAACCATCTTCCATTGTACTGGGGTAGATACCTATCTCTACTCGACATGGATTCTATATTTAAAACTAGTAATTGATAATCGTTTTATTCATTTCACAGGAGGATACTTATGTTATCAGCTGATTTAATAATGTTCTCATTACTTTCAGACTATAAAGGCTGCCAAGATCGATAAAATAGTATATGACGCTATTGTTATATACTAATCATAATAAGAGTTGTATTTTATAAACATATAATACTCTGCCACGTTGTTCCAATGAATAAATAAGCGAGTTAGCGGTTTCAAGTATTCCCTCCATTTTCCTTCTGTTTGAGTTAGCTAGTAATATCATTGATTATCGTATAAGTTAAAGCTTAGTACATTAAGTCTGTACTCGCTGAATGGGTTACAGTTTATCTTATAAATAACATCTACTGAATAATGGACGATTGTTGTACATCAGTAACTGACGACTAACAGTATATGTCATAAAAATGAGACATGTATTTTTGTTTATAATTCTCTTGTCAGTAAATCTCACAAACCGCTTTTACATTAAGGATGTTTTAGGAATTAAGAGACGTTTTATTGATATCGTGTGTATATATTATGTGGCCCTGAATCCGACTCCAATTAGATGTCCGTGTCACTGCTCTACTGAATGCGTCAGATTTAAGATTGAGTTGCTCGTCGATTGGTTCGTTTATCGAACCCGTCTGCGTAGATTTACGGGGCGCGTCTAGTTCGAGATCAAGCTTACCATTTTAGTTGTGCCGTAGTCACCGATTTGATCGTATGGTCGAAAACTGCGTTTTTTATCGACTGAGCTGGCTTCAGTGAGTTTATTCGCCCAAAGTATGGAGTGCGGAAGGTTTATCATCTGCATAGTTTGCTGCGTTATGCTTTTCGTCAGCGGGCTTATCACTTTGGTGGCCTGTTATTTTGATGCCAATTAGATTGGTCTAATGATTGTTGTCGAAATATACATCCTTGTATACAATCATCGACTTAACTCGCGTTGGCGAATAACAGAATTAAATAAGTCAAATACGAGAATGACTCCCAAATTTATATGCTTCATACAATTGTTGATCTGAACAGACAATCAGAGATGCAGAGCAAAATAAGCTAAGTGGAGAGAGAGAGAGAAGTGAAACTAAATGATGCGCAGTAAAGAGGGCAAGTGAGCCAACTTAATTTAGCGAAGCGTGAACCGATATATACAGTCGAACCAAAATAAGTTATAAACATATGATGAAAGGGATACGAAGTGCACACACATATGCTCATATAGAAACAGTCAAGATTGATAAGCGAATAATTGGCAAGGTCACTATGTGACTAAGATGAATAAACAGATTGATCTATCCAGAGGTAAGAATAAGTTATGTGGGCCCCAAATAGGACCAGCCAGTACATAAATATGAGCGATTCAAAACCAACGGGTTACGTAATTTCGCTACTGGACTCATAATTGAGATGTTTAGTTTGCAATGTTAAAATATGTAGTGTTTCACATGATTAGGAGAAGCTTATGTATTTTGTTGTAGGTGGGAATGTGTTGATAGTCACCATAAATTTCGTATGCCGTGGTGGTAGTGGTGTGTTAGGGAAAAAAGATCAAATATTTCGTAGATTTGAGTGATTATTTGACATAAGCTTTCCATACTGATGATGTTCGTTGGCTTATGTGTTTTCCATTTTGATTATTGAAGAGGTTTATTTGGTTAATGATGGTGATATTGTTAAGTAATGCTGAAGACTTGAAACATCTGCTTTAGGAACAAGTAGTTTAATCCATCGTACCATCTCTAAGCGTTTTCACTATCACATACTACCAGGTGAGAATCTAACGATATTCTATTTGTAATGCCTAGAAATTTCAATACAACAAAGTAACAAGTTGATGCTTAACAAAAAGCTGAATGATAATTTGTAAAGAAAAGTAGTAGAATAAATGGTTGTGTAATCAAGTAATTAACTGAACAATGATAGTGTTCAATGAAGGATAGTCTATTTAGAAACTATAACCAGGGTAAATTTCTTTTAGTTAAAAAGATTTTCTATAAAGAATGTTGTATAAGTATTGTCACATGCTTGTATTCTGAGCAATATCACATAGAGTCTGGAGCTAGTGAGCCACATGATCTACAGGGCTCAACATTTTTTGTCTGATGAATGTAAAGAAATAAAAAAAGACTCTTTTCACAATTTAATGTACAAGAAAGTGAACATGTTCTTAGGGTAATTATAATTTTTTTAGAATGTAGTGCATTATTCAAAAGCATTACAGGCAGAGATGGATGGTGTCTATCAGTGGGATTTGAGGTGCGCGTCCCATTTTATCCAGGACTCGTCAGTTGGACGTACCTGCATCCCAGAATTGATGTTCATCCTAGGACTCGAACCCAATACCATTCACTTCAAACGTCATTGTGTTATACACTTTGCTACTAGATCCAGATAGCTACTGGTTTATGCAATGGGGTAAAGTTTTAGTTCATTTTGTATTGGTTGTTTTGATCATCCCATTAACGTTTAGAACTGCAACTGATCAGTCTTATTGGCATATGGGCATCCTATACGGATTAACTCGATATTGGCTTGAGTGACAAGCATTATAAGCAGAGATGTGTACGTAATTTTTAATCTATTCGACCAGCTACTTAAATATCATTTCAGTAACAATCCATTATGTACAAACATTTACCGAAGAAAATCTGCCAATGTCTAACTAAACAAAATTAAAGAGATAAGCATTGACTCATGTTATTTTTCTTCTTAAGAATACCGCTTCATTTTTAATGCTACCCTTTAAACAACAACATAATGTTCTTTTGATTTGTGATTTTTTGTTTCATTTGCTATCTGTGCACCGACTCTAGGTGTAACAAATTGGTTCGACGCAAACTCGTTCCATATCCTACAATAATGATGACTGACTGAGGATCATCTCGGAATTACTGAAAAAATGTCAAATGTTTTGATAGGCATATGTATATATAATTGTATTGATTTGGTGTAGAACACCTACAATTGTGAATGTCCATCGACTGTGATTTTCGGGATACAATCGACCACCATCAACCTAAACGTGTAATACTGGCTGGAGTAAGAGTGGCTTAGAAGTGAGTAAAAAGATGAAAGTTAAAGGCATGACATTAATTAATGAAATCACTGACCGTTGATTTTAGATATGTCGATATGCAGATACTAACCTAGTTAGGGTCTGGATGATAACGATGATAATTAGTTTGAAACATCGAGTGATTTGGCAGAGAAGCGAATAGACTTTCAGGAGAATTATCTATAAAATTTACTATTTACTATGAACTGATCACATAAGAAAAATATTCATGTTGTCACTGGTATCTAGTTCAAGGATTGATTATTGATGCTTTAGTGAGTATATGTAGTTGTTAAATTTTCACTACCTTGAGATTGAGAATCATCATTAACGCCACTAGGTGATTATCAATGTAAGTATTGTGAATCGCGAGTTGGCTACTCTAAATTCTACCAATTGACAAGCTTCAGATATCCCGGTTCGACCCCAATACTGTTCCCAATCTCCAATATATCAGAACACGAACCGTAGATGAAAATTCGTTTATGGGGTCAGGAGCAGCAGAATAATGATTTACAAACAAATGCATATTTATACAGTTAGGATTACTATAAATATTGACCAACAGAAAGATGACACGTTAATTAATATTGACCAATAGGAAAATGACACGCGAAATAAATATTGATCAGTAGGGAAACAACCAATAGGGAAATGACACCATTTAACGTTCAAGGGTAGCGTTAGACTTAACCGGATAATTGTTTCTGGGATATTCTTCTGAGTATCCCAACAGTAAGCCATTAGGTTTTCATTAAGTAATCAAAAGCTATTGTGTATGAAATGAAAACGTAGATTATATAGTGTCCTCATGTCTATCTTCATGGGTGTATATCAGATTAGATTATTTAAGTTAGTTCCATTCTTTTATTTATTCATTTAAATACAAAAACATTTGTACAATAAGGCAGCATATAGATATGTGCCACATCAATCATTCGATTACTGTGAGGGCTGTGATACTACCCGACTAATCAGGCCGAAATACACAACTTTCCTAGAGAGACACACCCAGAGCCTTCGACCTCAAAGTCTGATCTACAAGGCAGTGGAGCGACTTCAGGAGATGCAGTCCTATGGTAGCTGGTGACCAACAATAGGGTCATACTCCATTTGTTTCTTTAGAATACTGGGACCCATGTGCACCATTAGTATGGAATAAGAGTTTTCCAAATCGCCGAGGCGGATTCTCCATTATCCATCAACATGGTTAAAGTGTCGGACATTCACTTTTCGTCCTCTCGATTTCATAAACAATGGCGCCTGCATGAGAAGGTGGTGAGTATGACTTCCCTGGCAGTGTCTTTATTCGCGTGGCTGTGTGTGAGCATTTTGAAAGGAAGAGCTGACTCTCCCCACTCTCGGCCGTACTAGGGCATTTATCGTATCTGACTTACATATGTAGATAAGATGTACGCAGTTAATTATATCTCACTGTTATGTCCCAGTGAAGATTAAATTACGAGTAACGTCTGAGAGCTGTTAATGGACTAATATTATATATATATTCCTATTGTATAACTGCTCAGTAACTAGATTGTGTATATTTATATTCCCCTTACTATAAGCTTCATTTTGATCTATATATTATTCTTGTTATACGATTTACTGTT